TGTGACCTGCTTAGATGTAGCAACAAGAGTAGGAGCATCAAAACCTATAATAAACATAAAGATTTATAAAAAAGTATTGTATTTGACACCNCTTTTACACTTCAAGGGTAAAATTATACATGTACTTGCCACTAATACTCAACGTGCTTATATTGCAGGCTGTACTCACCTCCTTTTAGTAATGCAAACATGTAAGGAGTCCTCACATTGACCAGACGAATCTTAAAAGAACCTTTACCAGAAGACATATGAGTGGAAGATTCGTTACAATACTAGAAGAGGGAGAGAAGAACAAAAGATAAATACAACATTTTGAATCCCATACTTGATATTTGACTGGTGCAATTTTAGATGGGTCGATGGATTCCTCTCCATTTGGTGGAGCATACACACCAATCCAGTCAGTATCTGATGGATGAGATACACCATCCCAAGCAACTGTAACCCAATCCCCTGATTTATTCAACTGATTGGGAGTGACAGTGATAACCACACTAGGATCTAGAAATATATTATATAATAGAGCATCTATGATGTAATACAGCCACTTTAAATACAGCAAGTCTAACTGCAAATGGAAAATACTCTCACTACTATGATCTGATCTACTATGCTACAGTACACGTGTTCCTCTCCCTGTATCTGCCTACCTGTGTTCACAACAGCTTTCTCATACTTGAGAAAGTCAAAAGGACTGAAGTATCGGTGACAAAATCCAACAGAGACTAAGAAAAGTAAGGACAGCCAGCGAATCATTTTTAGATTTGTTTTGACTCACTAATGAATAAATAGTCTAATGAATAATATTTGGTGATTTTTGCATGCTAGTCTTTTAAAAAAATAATGATGGTCTTTTTTATACTTTTGATCTCATAATCTTGAAAACATAATCTCAACTTCTGATGATCCCAAAGCTTTTGAATGAGTTTTAGCACTAGCAATATTAGTATTACCAGCAGTAGAAGTGTTAGGAGCTGTATTATTAGAAGTGATATGGGGTATCTTTGTTTCAGCTACTTGAGCTTTAGAATGAGTTCCAGGGGACAATGCATTATGTTGTGTTACGTCCAAATTATCATCTTCCAATTATTATTACTATCCTCTTATTATTACTATGTTCACAGTTATATTAATTTATTGTGCACAGCTTTCATTAAATATGATAAGAAATACAGCAATTAATACACACACACATCAACTTATACACACATGTATAGTCATGTCAAAGTGGCACACTGGATTATTCACTTGGTGTGTTTGAGTGTGAATGTGTCTTTGAGTGTACCATCAGATTTTATGTACTCCAATGTGAGGGAGAGTGGACTAACACTTATCCTGGTATAACCATAATCCTGAGAGAGAAGAAAAGAGAGAGAAGATAAGAATTGTATAAAGGAGTGTGTGAGAGTGATAAAAATTATCTGACTTACATGAACATTAACGAACCGAATCCAATCTGGTTGCTTTTCTCTAAAATAATTTTAGAAATAGAATTTTAATGGAGTGTAGATTTCATATGCTCGTCATACACATGTGTACTACATAGTACATGATGTATACACACAAACTGTACAAATGATGCCTTTATTGGTCACTCATTGTTTACTGTATATTTCCAGAGAGTGATTGTCCAGCCATTCCAATGACGACATGAACTGGAGCAGTTCCATCATCCTGACAGACTTTCTTAGCAACAGGACATGTCCTCTGGTAGGAGTGGTGGTGACCCCAAAATGCTAAATCAACTTTGTATTCCTGAGAAAGAGGAAGGAAGAAAGAGAAGACATAACAAAAGCTAATTGAATAAGAATTCATAATTACTAACCAGGAGTAGTGGCTCAACATTGTCCTGTAGTTCTTTAGAAACTACCAAATCACTAGCAGTCTGAACTCCAGCAGTGCTATCAATGTACATTGGCCTAATACAAACAGAATAACATTAAATAAGTTTTTAAATCATTTTTATCATTGCTTCTCATGTTCAGTTATTATTGAAGTGAGCCTCAGCGAGCCCCACTAAAACAAGAAAGTGTTTGTCTGTCTGTACGGGAATGATAGGGTCGTCTAACTATTATTAAAGTTAATTAGGCGAATGTAAACATTGAGGGAGCGAGCATGAGTTATCGATTGGCTTCATTATTATTTTATTGTTACTATTATTTTATTGTTATCATTAATGTTGTTGTTATCAAAATAAAATAAAATAAAATAAATAAAAACAATAAAATAATAACAATGAAATAAAAATAAGAAAATAAATAAATAAACTAAGAGCTAGATTGTTGTATTCATTTTAATGTTAGTCAAAAAATGTCAATCAATGGCTCATGCTTGCTTTCTCAATGCTTACATTCAACTA